AGTTGTGTTTTGTGTTTTTCTTTAATCTGTTACTTTAAGCAGTTACATTGACAAGTTCCGTAAGAATCGTATGGAAGCTGTGATTTAATCCCTTGGTGAGTTGTACATCCTGTACAATTTACAGCTTACCTTGCCTTGCCCTTAAGTATTAATTTTTTTCCCCCTAAATCTAACAAAACAAACCAAACAAACCAAAAACAGTTTTGAGAAAGCCTAGGGAGTTTTAGTTATCATTTCCACTTCAGACTGAGTTAATGTTAGCATTTTTAGGAACCTAAAAGTGAAACTTCCCTGGCACTGATTCTTTAAAGAAATATTCCCAGGCACTCAAACCAATAGAAGCCTTCAAAAGGATCAAGTGTTACAGCTTCAATGTACTTAAAAAGTAAAATAAATTTGAAACAGCAATCTTAACATTTTAGAGCTTCAATCTGTAAGATGTGGCTTGAATGTCTGCTTCTTTGGCCCCATACCAGTGTCTTTTGGAAAAGAATTTAAATCATCTACAAAGATGTACTTCTAAATGTTTTTTAAGACTTTATTTGCTGAAAGTTGTCTTAAAAGGAGGCCATTAAAATACATATTCCAATGATTTGAAACTTTTAAGTTTTTTACCTTCTGTCAGTTGCTACCTTCTGGCAGAATTGGATTTTGTGTCTCCAATTGATGGCACCGCTGTCTGAGCGCAGTGACACTTTCTTGGTTTTGCCTCCGTATTGCCATTCACTGGGGGCTCTCATGGACTTAATAGGAACTCCATCATCTGTGGATATAAAGAAACAAACAGCCGGGATTAGCTGAAATGGGAAATTGGTTAAAAGGCCCTGGGAGTCCAGTTGTGCTGTTGGTTTGTGCCTTGCTAACTTTAAGTCTTATTTCTCTGCAAGGCTGAAGTAGGCATGCTTATTTTACATGGATAAACAGCAGAAAGGTCTTAGGATGGGCCATCTCTTCAGATTTTGGGGTCAGAGGGCCCTGTCCGATGGTGTTAGGAGGCGGAAAGTAGCTCTTGGTTTCACTGCTGACTTCCTCATGAGCTCAGCAGGCAGCAGGTAAGGAACCAAATTCATTCAGGAGCCACTGCTCTGCCGTGCTTCTCGCTTGCCCTGCTTTTTGTGACCTTCAGGTTCAGCAAGCTCTTAAAGTTAATTATATCCCTAATTACTTAGTAAACTTGTTTCCAGATACTGTGAACTGAGACAAGGTTCGAATGTAAACAGATGTCCTTCTTTTTTTGCTGCAGTAAATAATGTTAAAATGTTTCCTGACCATATCTAGTTGGTTGCAGCTATTGAAGTTTAGAAAATCCAAAGTATTTTTTGTTTGGCCAACTGTAGGCCAAGTTGTAAGGTAACATTTTTAATTTCCAGTTCCTGAGCTTAGTTTGGGTTAGTACTGTGTGGCTTTCATACAGAGTTAATTATTGTCTCAGGGATGCTGAGATTCCAACCTTTTATGAAAAGCATTGAAATGTATTTTTGACAAGTGATAGGAGAGTCTGGGTTGCACAGTAATTATTTAAAGTAAATATGTCACCTTTTTTCAAGGTTGCTAACTTCAGTCTGTATTTCAATCGAGGAATATTGAAGATTCCTAAAAGGCAGATTTCAAATGGAAGTATTTTTACCTTCACAGAACAACAACATCACAAAGCAAACTTGTTCTTCCAGTCTTACCTGGGCTGCATAATGCTTGTCATGGAAACATCAGGGCAAAAGTATCACGAACAATTTTATTTTCCTGCTCTTGTCTTTTCTGATATTTGTCTGATACTTGCAGTTCTTTTTACTTAGACGATGGAAGTATCTGGAAGAGATGCTTTAGCTTGAATATCATCACTTGAAAGCTTCGGTTCCAAAAAATAAGCATTATACAGCTCAAGTTACTGTTTCCTTCTTTTTTATTTATATTTTGAATAGCACTTACAAGAATATTGTGTAAATTAACAGTCATGTTTTCCAGAATTATTCTTTTGTAGCTCTCTATTGAACATCACAACAAATGAATTACAAAAGATACAAATTTCATTGCTACAGCAAAAGGTTGTATAAGGAGATGACTGCAAGAATCCAGTAGATTTTTACGTTTCCGTTGCATTCAGCCTGGCAAAAAGCATCTTTTTCTTTGATATCTTTTTGATATCAAAGGCCACGGTTGTAGATTTTTATTAAACTGTCCTAATTTCTTTGTATGCCACGTAGCTGTATCGATTAAATATCAGTGGAGGAAATCAAAGTTAGTTTTTGCTTACTTATTTTAGAAAAAGGAAATTTGAAGTAGCCTTACAGATTTAAAAAAGCAGTAAATGTTCTTTTAGTTTGAAACATTGATGACTTTTCAATATACAAACCTACACAGAACAATATGCTGTTACAGGTGAAAATTTTAGTATGGTCCTAGAATTACTGAAGTGTCAAAGATGCCCATGTCTGAAATCATACTATCAGTTTCAATTAACAGCTTGAAGTTTGGGGGATGGTTTAAAAAAAAAAAAAAAGAAAAGGAACCTTCTTATTTGTAGGCTCAGCTGTGTCCTAAAAACACAGAGCCTCGATCTCCTCTCAGCTACCAAATCTGTCTCCTTTCTGTATGTGATGCAGAGTCAAGTTTCCTACATGTCTGAAACAGTTCTCCTTTCTCTTGGCAGTGCTAGGTTTCCTAATTACAGCTGTGATCCCGTAGGCACCAAGGTAACTTCACGCACCATCTGAACCATGCCATTACTTTGCTGAAATTACTGTTGCAGTCAAGGAAAATAAACAAATGCATAAACTTGTTTGGGTTGGGATCGTCTGTTACTGAATGATGCAGAAGGCAGAACAAACATCGCTGTCATTGCTTAATTGGAAACGCGTGTTTAAAAAGTTGGCATTTGAATGATATTTTAGACTGTACTGCTATTTCGCTATGGATTTATTGGGTAGGGGTAGCAGAGGGAATGCCTAGATGGAGTGACTGACAGAAGGCTGGGAAAGGGCCATCACCATGGAGATATCACTTCTTCAAAGAGTCATCTTTCTCCTAGTTCTTCTATCCCTTCAAACTCATCAGTTGGTTCTTCTTTCACTGACCCAGTACAAACCAAACCCTGTAAGCATATGCAGAGAGGAACTCAGTAACTCCACTTCTCCAGCCCTACTGGTCCCAGAGTTCTGCTGGTCTCATTTTGGTCTGTAAGCTGCTTCGGTTTTGGGTTCTACTTAAAGGGATCATTGGATCACAAAGTTGTTCATATGGCTAAATAACTTTATGAAGTGCTGCTGCAGCCTTTTGTTCGCTACCTACGCTTTCTTACGCACTGCTCTTTTCATCAGACCTGGAACTAGTTGAACAAAATTAACAGCTTCAATGAGGTACATATTTTCCTTACAAAAGTAGCTTCATTTTCTGCTGTTAAGTAGAAACAGGTAAAAACAGTTTTATTAAACACCACTTTTTTGTGCCTGTGTTAGAGAAATAAAATTGAAAATTACCCAAACGTTGACATGGGATTTTTTTAACAAGGACATTTTTGTTGGTGGTTGACTTTGGTTTTGAGTCCAAAGTTTTGACTTTGTGAGAAAGTTACATATCCCTACTGTTGTTTTTGCCTGCTTAGCAAATATCCTGTATAGCACTTGTGTATATCAGATACGTAGCCTGAAATGCTGTGTAACAGTTGAAACTGTGCAAGTGGTATCATTGAGAAATGCAGATACTTTGATTTATTTTTTCATTCTTGCAAAAGTTAATTCTTTAAGCTCAAGAGACATTAAGATTCACAGCTCTGCGCTTCCAAGTGGTATGGAATAAAACCAGCACAGCATACCAACATCAAAGTTAGTGGTGGCAACTGATGATACATGCCCCAGGAGATACAGTTACACTTCTAGGAATTCATTTCCAGTTTGTGATCTCTTAGTCCTTACCTTTTCTTGACGTAAATGCAGAGATTTAATAGCAAGTGCTATTTAAGTCATACACTGGAAAAAGAAAAGTAGGAGGGTACGTGAGGTGCTGAGTTGTTGAATATAGAGAAGAATAAAATGATCCTAGGCTAGGAATCTGTCATTATTAACTGACAGTAGTTAAACAGAAGTATTTTAAAGCGTTTATATTAGTGGTGGATTGATTTTGTGATTAATTAATTTTGTGGTTCCTGCATAATTTGACATTCTGCCATAGTGAGGTTAAGAAAACACTTTTGAATTTTTTTTCTGTTATCAAATGGATAACTAGTTCTTCAGGTCTGAGTATTTCCTTTTAGTTTGTTGGTTCTGTTTTCTGCAAGTATATGTAAAGTGTAAATTAAATTCTACAGGACAGAAAGTATGTAAGGCTGGATTGCTGACTCCTAAGTGGGTGGTATTTTAAATGAAGAACATCGTGTCTTAAACAGAGTGCCGAGTACTGTTTGGTTTCTTTCCCTCTCTTGTTACCCTACCAAAAGCTAACCTTGTGAGTACTTGGCAGCAGAGGTGATTTTGGCTTTATTCAGAATGAATCCCGTATGGCCTAGGAGATGAGGAGTCGTCATTCTGGGCAGCTATGGAAAGATGTACTAATATCCACTGAATATGGATGTTCTAGGAGGTGTGGCTTAATACATGGAGCTCCTGGGAAATGCTGTCTTGACCATTGTTTATGTGTTCACTTTTATTCATCATATAACTACTTCTTTTTTTTTCTTTTTTCCAGTTCATGCTAGTACATATTTAATATATTTGGAAATCTTTGTGACAAACTGAAGAGCCAACAGAGTACTTACTATTTATATTAATGGGTGTTATGATAGAAAATTGTATTGACATTCTGTGATTGGAAGGAGTCTTAAAGGATTTTTCTGTATATACCAAATATAGTTTATTCTATTAATTATACGTGTACACGTGTATCATGTGCATACCTGTTATATGTTATATCCTAGTGGCTGCTATTTCTGCATCAACTTCAGTGCGCTGAAGTTCACCCTCCTCCCTTTTTGTCTACCAAAAAGTTGATTTTTCTTTTTCTATTGGCAGGTATTTAATTAGTCAAGGAGCACATGTAGGAGCTGTAAATAGTGAAGGAGACACCCCATTAGATATTGCTGAAGAAGAGGCAATGGAAGAGCTGCTTCAGAATGAAGTGAATAGACAAGGTAATTTTAAATGTGAAAGGCTGGTTTTGTTTGTTGAATGCTAAATATGTTTTTGAAATGGTATGTATAAATTAACGATTTTGAAGTCAACTTTTTTTAAAGAGAATTGTTCATACTGTGTACGTTGCTGAAGCTGTCTTCCAGGCATTTTAGGTCATCCCAACCTTTTCAGAAGAAAGAGCTTGGAAGTACTGAACGCAGATGTTGGTTGGATTCCTACATTCACACAGCAGAATTTAAGTGGTATTTAGATAGTATGGATGGTGTACCATCTGTTTGGGGTGGACTCATATATCCCAGTTTAGATTGAGTTTAAAGCTAGACATCTCTACTGAAGGAAACTACATTAGAGAAGAGGTAAATACGTATTTCTAAGAGTGACTCAGATGTCCCTTTTACGATGAGATGAATCCAGCTTGAAGGTAACTGTTTCTTCCATTGATACCCTGGAAAAGTGAACCAAAAGTAAACAACTGTACCCTGTCATGTAAGCAACCCTTTGTATCTAGTTTTGACCTTTTGAGTGCCGCTACACGATGCCAAATATCTGAAACTACCTGTAAGGAGTCTTAAATTGCTTTTGTTTTAGCTCTGAGAACAAAAACTAATTCCAGTAGTTTCTGTGCTCACCTGAGAGCACCATACAGTTAATGGATAGGTATCAGGTTTTGGTAGTAAGATTTTGAAGTGCACATCCTAAATGTGTGCGCTTTACTCCTAGAAAATTAGTAGGGCAAATCTAGGAGTGCTGACTTGATAAAAGAGATTGGCCTTCAAAAAAGAATATTTATTCCTTTTTCTCTGATACTTTTTTTCCTCCTTATTCTACTATTTCCCATTTTCAATGCTTGTTTTCCAGGGAAAGTTATTTGGAAGTCTGAGGTTTTTCTGTTCCGCATAGGAGAGAATATTCAGATGGTGTCTCACTGTCTCAAGTCTTATGATGTAAGACGATGTATTACTGACATGACATGAGGCATGCATTACTATCCCAAAGCTCCAAGTACAAGAAATGAGATGATGTGGTCTAAGTTACATCATGCTCTGAAGGAAGATGGCGCTCAGTAAAGACAGAGCCTTTGTGAGGGATGTGTTGGGGATCTGCATCTCCATCACTTCCAACCACCTTCCTCCCTCTTAACAGCCTCCTTACTCCATGAAAATGTTACTTTTTTTGTAACAGAGAATTTCTGTCTCTAAGATGGATTTACATAATACAGTAGTAAACAATTAATTGCTTGAACCTTTGCCATGATGTAATTTGAATGTTTAAACCTGTTCAATACCAAAAACAAATGTTGAAAAGAAAGTGGGTGGCGTGATAAACAGAGGTGCTAATATATAGAAGACTGTAGATTTGACAGCTTTCACTCACGTATTACTGTTAAATGAATTTTAATTGACAGTTCTTATAGCAAGCCTGTAAAGATCTCCAGATTAGATAGGCTTGAATATTTTTGTGTGAGTGCAACCGTCTGTCTATTTTAATTTAGTTCGGGGGAGAAAAAAAAAGAGTGCAGCTGTTCTTCTGTTTTTTTTTCCAGAAGAATGTTGTCAATCTTTGCTTGAGAGTTATGTCTGACTTGTAGATCAGCCTGAATAATTTAGGTGGATTTTGATGCATTTGACTTTACTGACATGGCAGTAATTGACGGTAGTTCACAGAATCATAGAATGGCCTGGGTTGGAAGGAACCTCAAGAATCATGAATCTCCAACCCCCCTACCACAGGCAGGGTCTCCCCATTTAATACTAGACCAGGCTGCCCAGGGCCCCATCCAATCTCACCTTGAACACCTCCAGGGACGGGGCATCCACAGCCTCTCTGGGCAGCCTGTTCCAGCACCTCACCACTCTCTCTGTAAAGAACTTCCCCCTGACATCCAACCTAAATCTTCCCTCCTTCAACTTAAAACCATTTCCTTTAGTCCTGCAGTTATCAGCCCTTTCAAAGAGTTGATTCCCCTCCTCTTTGTAGGCTCCCTTTAGGTATTGAAAGGCTGTAATGATGTTACCCCGCAGCCTTCTTTTCTCCAGGCTGAACAAGCCCAGCTCCCTCAGACTGTGTTTGTAGGGGAGGTGCTCCAGTCTCCTGATCATCTTCATGGCCCTCCTCTGGACCCTCTCCAACAGTTCCCTGTCTTTTTTATACTGGGGGCTCCACACCTGGACACGCAGTACTCCAGATGGGGTCTCAACAAGAGCAGAGTAGAAAGGGACAGTCACCTCCCTGTCCTTGCTGGCCACTCCTCTTCTGATGTAGCCCAGGATACCATTTGCTTTCCAAGCTGCAAGGGCACACTGCTGGCTCATGTTAAGCTTTTCATCCGTCAGGACACCAGGTCCTTCTCTGCAGGGCTATTCTCAAGGACAGCTCCTTCCAGTCTGGGATTCCTCCAGCCCAAGTGCAAAACCTTGCACTTTGCTGTGTTGAACCTCATTAGGTTTACCCAGGCCCACCTTTCAAGTCTGTTGAGGTCCCTCTGAATGGCATCCCTTCCTTCCACCGTGTCAATCGCAGCACTCAGCTTGGTGTCATCAGCAAACTTGCTGAGGGTGCACTCGATTCCGTTATCGATGTCATTGATAAAGATGTTAAAGAGCACTGGTCCCAACGCACACACCTGTCCACCTTGACATAGAACCATTGATGACCACCCTCTGTCTGTGGCCTTTCAACCAGTTTCTTATCCATCGGGTCGTCCACCCATCAAGTCCACATCCCTCCAATTTGGAGATGAGGATGTGGTGGGGAACCATGTCAAAGGCCTTGCTCAAGTCCAGGTAAATGACATCGGTTGCCTTCCCTTTGTCCACCAATGCCATCACTCCATCATGGAAGGCCACCAGATTAGTTAAGCATGACTTTCCCGTGGTGAAGCCATGATAATGTATATATATAATTATATGTTTTAATGCATATTTTTACAGTGTAAAGAATCAATGTGCAATTTTATTTTTATTTTTTATATTTTATTGAGTTTAATTATTTGGAACAGCCCAATTGGAAAATCAGCATTGGCAGTCTAAATGCCACAATTCACTGAAAGTTTCAGACATATATTTTATATATATATATATATATATACATTTGTATATACATAGGTATATTTGGGAGTGGTTCTAATACTTACTTACTTACAGGTCTGTTACAGGACTTGGTAACATTGGTATTTTTTGCAGTTAAACCTATCTAGATTAGTTCTGCAGAGTTTTAGCCTAGAAATTTCATGTATGTGTTGTTCTATGTGAATTTATCTTACTATTGTTTTATCTATATGGATTGTTATGTATGTATCTTCTTATATGCATGTATGTATATATTCTACCTGGCTTCTTTGGCTGTTAGACCTCTAACATAAAGCTCTAAAATTAAGCTCTAAAATAACTTAATTGTTTGTTTCAGTGTGGAATTAACACTGATGTATGGTGACAGTTTCATCTTTGACAGTACGTATGGTTAAATGCTTTAGCATTCCTCCTCATAAAGCAGGACCACAGTTTAGGTAAAATAAATGAAGTGTGAAATCTGCGGAACATTAAACCCCAGTTCAGTGCTACAGGTAGTAGAACATAATCAAATTTACTTTGAAAAGGAACAAACTCAAGCAACAAAAAATCTTGGCCCTGTGTAGATAAAACATTCACTATAGCTTCTTTTCTTCCCGTTAGTTAATGCTCCGATTATGGCTTCCTACATGTTGACATCAACAGGGCTTTTTGTGGCAGAACATTGCCTGGAGAGATCAGTCTGATTCATTGTGATTTCAAATATTTTGTGGTGATGATGTTTGACATTTGCTTCTGTTGGAAATCTGGGGAGAATTACCATGTTAGCTTATCCTTTTTGCTGCTTCAGAGTTGAAGTCGGAGTCTTCTAATAGTGCAATTATTCTGTCTTCATCTCTTTATATTTTTTACCAATTTTTAAAACCATTGAATTGTATTTTACAGACATATCTGACTACAGCACAAAATTCGCAGATGTAAATTACAGAAAACAGTATACAATTTAGCTCTATATGACGTTACAGGCATAGTAGAAAGAGGGATCCAGAATGTTTGCTCATCCTGTTCAAGCATTCAGACTCCAAAATCTAAACTACCTAGAGAGGAAATGGTCATCTACCCAAATTAATCTCCTGTTTTACAAGGCCAATGATAAGGAATGTTGTACATGAAAAAATAGAGCTTATGTATTTACTAATATCTTTTTTCAGTTATTCTGGAGTTCTTGTGCAACACTTCTCAGTTGTGACCCTTGATTCACACTTCTTTTCTTATAGATTTTCCTGTGGGCCACGGGCCCCTAAACCAGGACACCTTGTATTCTGGGAAGCGTATATAAAGACTGGTTGATATAGGCTTGCTGTCATTGTGAGCTGATAGACTGACTGCACTATAGGCAAAGCCACAGCACTCTTACAGTAGGGAAAGTGTTTTTCTACGTAAACTTTCACATGGGAGTAAAGACTGTACTGAATTTTGACTAGTTTGGAGTAGTTTTGCAACATACTCTATTCTTATGTTTTGGTATTGTCTCTAGTATTTGATATGATAAAGTAAATCTATTATATTGCTTCTAACATGTGCATGCAATGGCTTAATTATTTTTTAAGCTTAACACCTAGTTTCATTTTGTACTTTGTGAGAAGGTAAATTATAAACGTATCATTGAAAGCTACAGAGATTTTTTGACATGATTAAGAACAGGGCACTTCACAAATAGCAAAATTAGGCATTCTGTGGAAATTATTCCAGTGTCGTGTAGAGCAGCTATAATCTTTGCATGCCTTGTGTTTTAAATATTTCCTCTGTTTCACAAAAATACTTCCTCTTAGGCCTGTTTTGTTGTCCCTCCATATGGCTACTGTCTCTGTCATGGGCTGATCCCACATATATAGGTGTCACCACAATCCATGGAAATGCTTAGCTTTAGTAAAAACACCAATATTTCCAATTTCTTGATATGATTCCCTGTATTCCTGTGCGGTATTGCA